CAGTCCGAGGAAAGTAAGGAATTCGAAGTATAAAACGTGTCGTGTTCAGATCCTACCACCACCAACTCTATGCCAGAATCAAGGATCTTACTTGTTCTCTTTGCACTGCTGCTTCTCTGCGCCGCTGTCGAGGGAGCCATAGGGCCAATTGCTGATCTCCATATTTCGAACGAGATCCTCGCTCCTGACGGCTTTGATCGCTCGTGAGTTTGAATGTGCCCAACGAAGAAGACAGCTTCTTACTCGTTTTTAGGACCGTTGTTGCAGGCGGAACTTTTCCTGGTCCTGCCATTATTGGGACCAAGGTTCTGCGAGCACATTTACTTCCTCCTTTGAATGTGGCTGATGTTAAGACGTAGGGCGATATCTTCGTAATCAACGTAACAAATGCTTTGCATGACCCTTCAATGCTGCGTGCCACTACCATAGTGAGCCATATTCTACCTTGCAGTTGAAAGCCCCTTTTCATTTTCATTTTCGATCCAGCATTGGCACGGCATCGTCCAGCGCGATACCAACTGGCTCGACGGTCCTGCTATGGTTACGCAGTGTCCAATTGTTCCTGGTGATTCTTTTGTTTACAATTTCCCCGTCTGTCATCAAGCCGGCACGTTTTGGTACCATTCCCATTACGGTGAGGCCCACATTTTCATCTTTTCCTACAGATCCTCATATGAATATGTTGCCTCAGAATCACAGTATTGTGATGGACTTCGTGGACCCTTTATCGTTTACGACCCCAACGATCCGTATCAGGATATGTATGACTATGACAATGGTCAGCTTTGCGCTTCATCAACCCGACTTTCGTCTAACGAACCTCGATAGAAACGACGATCATTACGTTGGCTGATTGGTATGTCATGGCGCACAATCCTTATTTAGAATCTCGGTATAAACGTAGTCTCATAGGTACCATGAACCCGCTCCTTCAAGGATTGATAAACCAATCACAACGCTCATCAATGGTCTAGGCCGCGCCGTGAACGGTACTGCATCTGAGCTCGCTATCATCACAGTGGAGCAAAACAAGCGATATCGATTCCGCATAATCGGCCTATCTTGTGATCCTTCCTTTAACTTCACGATCCACAACCACAAGCTTACCGTCATCGAAACTGATGGAGAGTACACGGAACCACTCGTTGTGGACTCTATCGAGGTATGGGCTGGGCAACGTTACTCGGTAATTGTGACTGCGA